TGACCCCCGAGGACAGGCCTGTGCCAGTCGCCCTGGAGCGGGGCGGCGAGTGGACAGAGGGAAGCCAATTCATGTGGGGCCTTGCCACGGCCGGCCCGGGGCACGAGGACCCGAACTTCCCTAGGTCACGAGCGGAGTGACCCTGCTCAGTTCGCTCTCGGAGGGGGGAGAACTGTGACGTAGTGGGGGTAATTGCTGGGCTGTGGTGACCCCTGCTGTCTGGAGCAAGACCCAGCAGGGAAAACCTGGCTAGGCAGAGATAAGGCCAAACTGGTTGAACCAGTGGCCAGACACCCCCCATGGAGAGGAACAAAGGAAGGTGGAATGCTGCCCTGACTGCGGGGGCAGGGCTGGAGGGGAATTTAGTTAGACTGTGGAAGAGCATGGAGGAGAGCCTAGGGGAAGGGGCTGGAGTTTAGGGGCCCAGTCTCCCCCATCTCAAGGGGGCCTGAGGCATCCTAGCCCAGTTCCTGTAACCAGATTACATCTGTGCTGCGCTGGGCTGGAGGAGCAATAAACCACCCTCAATTCCACTGGCTGGTGCAGTCTGTTTGTGCCATTTCGGGGTGCAGGAGACGGGGAACCCCCAACGCGCCGTCACACCAAGTAACAGGCTAAAGACCTCAGGGAGAGAGACCGACTCCCCAGCTGCCTGCACGCTCAGAGGTCTCCTTGGGTGGGTCCCAGAACCGGCCTTCCAGACTAGCCCCTCTGCCCACTGTGAGCAGACCGCCCTGTGGCACCCTCGGCTACGGCTGTGACGCAATGGGAGCTTGAGCCTCCGAGGAAGAGCTAGTGCATTTACCCACAATGCCCTGCAGCCTGAGCTCACACGAAAGCTAATGGGCTGCCGGGTCACTATACTGCACGGTCTAGTCGGCTGCTTTCACCCGCCCAGGGCAGAGGGAGGTGCCACCTGGCCAAGAGCGAAAGACAAAGCCGTTCCTAAGCGCAGCCCCCCCCGTCCCCGAAATGCAAGGCGTGACCCCCACGCTAAGCCAACAAAGAGGCTGCAGAAACCAGCCACTGCTGGCTAGACCAACACCCCACCGGGGCAGGGTGGTGAATAAGGAGTTTCCCCCTTTTCTTAGGCTGAGACTTGTGCCACAGCCCTTGGGAAAGTGCCTTCCCGCAGCTGGGAAGTGAAGCAAGACCAGTTCTCCTCCAGCACCAGAGCAGCCACCCCCCTGGGGCTCCACTGCAGGCCCGAGGGGCAGCACGCTGGCGAGGCGGATGTCGTTTACAGCCAGCTCTGTCAAGCCTTCCGCGAGGAATCCAGGTCCTAGAGCTGAACACGCCTTTGCAACCCTTCCTGTGCGTGGGAGACGGTCGGTCACGGCGCACGGACAGGAGAGGGGTTATCCTAGCACGGGCCTGGGGCGTGCTCCACACAGCTCTGGGAGACAGCGAGGTGGCTGCGCGGGGCGGAGGGAATTCTTGCCAACAGCACAGACGCCTCCTCTCACCCTGAGCTGCACACACATTTCAAAGGAGGCCACTTACCATTGATGAGGAAGAAGAAAGCTCCAGTTTCGTTGGCCACTGCACGGGCAATCAGGGTCTTACCGGTGCCAGGGGGGCCGTACAGGAGGATCCCACGGGGAGGCTGGGGACAAGGAGCAGGGCCTGTGTTAGGCAGGTCAGTTGAAACGTCGGCGTGGACTCCGAATCGGAAGGGCGCACTCACGCCAGGCTCTGGCGCCCGTCTAAGGAGCAGCAATCAAAGCTTCCTAGGCCGGCAGCAGGACCCTAGTGATCAGTAAGGAAGGTCACAGGTTACCTCCCTCCCACCTCCCAGCCCCACGTGGGCTCCCAACCCCTTGCTGGGCCCAGGCGGAAGATCCCAGCGGCACTGCAAGCCCCGGGCGAGGCTGGCCACTTGAGCACGCGCAGGGCGAGCTGGTCCGTCCCTACCTTCACACCGATGGCTCTAGGCCGGCAGCAGGACCCTAGTGATCAGTAAGGAAGGTCACAGGTTACCTCCCTCCCACCTCCCAGCCCCACGTGGGCTCCCAACCCCTTGCTGGGCCCAGGCGGAAGATCCCAGCGGCACTGCAAGCCCCGGGCGAGGCTGGCCACTTGAGCACGCGCAGGGCGAGCTGGTCCGTCCCTACCTTCACACCGATGGCTTTGAACAGCGCAGGGTGTCTGAGCGGAAGCTCCACCATCTCCTTGATCTGGGCCAGCTGCTTCCCCCAGCCTCCAATGTCATCATAGCCCACTTCATTCAGCGACTCTTCCTCGTCCTGCCAGCAGGCAAAGTCGTTAGTGCACACGGGGAACGAGACTTAGCTCACCACTCCCCTCGGCCAAGCAGGACCCGGGACCCGCAGGCGCTGGAGAACCCAGGGAGATCCCCACAGGGAGATCCCCACAGGGAGATCCCCAGAGGTTTCCTTTCCCCCCAAGGGGATTACAGAAGGGCACAGGGAACGGGTGCCAATGGATTTGTCTGTGACCGTGGCAAGTCCCAGTGTCTAATTCCTGAGCAGTAAAACAGGGAGGTGCTGAGGGACAATGCTTGTAGGTCCCTGTCGAGAAGGAAAAGGCTGTCCCTGCTCAGGAGCGTCCATCTCACGCTGCAGTCACGGTGTGACCACAAACCTCCAGAGCCGCGCAGGGAGCCGCTGGCTGCTAGCCTGGGCTGTGGCCACACAGAGCCACCTGGGAAACGTACAATGTTTCTAAGATACCTCCCCGCACCCAGCAGCTGCCAAGGTGTCTCCTGCCGTCAATGGCCTCCCCAGAATCACATCCAGAACTCCTACCACACAGGAGACAGCTGAGGCTTTTAAGGGATGTGGTTTGTATCAAGCAAACTGATGCTTGCCCCAGAGCCTGTCCCAGCACCACAACCACCGCATAGATCCAACAGCCCTGGCTTCTCAGCCCCCGCTGGACCCCTGCCAAGGGCACGGCACCAACTAGCCAAACGGAAGCGGTGCAGGAAGGGCCCGCAGGCCATCGGGGCCCGTCACAGGACAGCGTCCTCTCAGCACCGCTCGAGCCCAGTGGCTCTGGCATCAGCCAAAGGCCGTGCTAAGATGGACAGCTCGCTGCCAAATGAAGCCACCCAACACTCAAGTCGGTGGCACTTCTCAGTTGTCGGGACTTGACGCACGTGTGCGATGGCGGGAACGCGCTAGGCACCGGTGCGAAGAGCTGTGCTGCTTGCGGTGGCTGCCAGGAAAGCAGCAGCAAACGGGGCCTGTCCAGGGGAAGTCGATAAGAACGGATAACGGCCGGCACAGGGGGCAGCCGAATTAATCTAATGGAGGGTGAGTGGCAGCTTCTTGGGGAAAAGCTCTGAGCTCAGGGATAAAGGCTGCCTGCTCAGCCCTCCCACGCCCTGCAAGAGACCAGGCACGTAACCCGCTAGTCTTATTAGCTGGAGGTGAAAGGAGACAGGGAACCCCAATGCCAGGGATTAGCTCGGGGTGGGCAGTCATTTTCACCGGGGAGGGGGGGGGGCACATCCCACAAATTCTGGTAAATTGTCCTGGGCTGAACATTTCTATTGTATTCAGGGAGGGGATGCGGGGCCTGGGAGGGAGCTCTGGGCAGGGTAGGGGATTGGGGCACAGGAGGGGTTGCATGGCCTGGGAGGGAGCTCTGGGCAGAGCAGGGGATTGGGGCGCAGGAGGGGTTGCAGGGCCTGGGAGGGAGCTCTGGGCAGGGTAGGGGATTGGGGCGCAGGAAGGGATGCGTGACCTGGGAGGGAGCTCTGGGCAGGGTAGGGGATTGGGGCGCAGGAAGGGATGCGTGACCTGGGAGGGAGCTCTGGGCAGGGTAGGGGATTGGGGCGCAGGAAGGGATGCGTGACCTGGGAGGGAGCTCTGGGCAGGGTAGGGGATTGGGGCGCAGGAAGGGATGCGTGACCTGGGAGGGAGCTCTGGGCAGGGTAGGGGATTGGGGCGCAGGAAGGGATGCGTGACCTGGGAGGGAGCTCTGGGCAGGGTAGGGGATTGGGGCGCAGGAAGGGATGCGTGACCTGGGAGGGAGCTCTGGGCAGGGTAGGGGATTGGGGCGCAGGAAGGGATGCGTGACCTGGGAGGGAGCTCTGGGCAGGGTAGGGGATTGGGGCGCAGGAAGGGATGCGTGACCTGGGAGGGAGCTCTGGGCAGGGTAGGGGATTGGGGCGCAGGAAGGGATGCGTGACCTGGGAGGGAGCTCTGGGCAGGGTAGGGGATTGGGGCGCAGGAAGGGATGCGTGACCTGGGAGGGAGCTCTGGGCAGGGTAGGGGATTGGGGCGCAGGAAGGGATGCGTGACCTGGGAGGGAGCTCTGGGCAGGGTAGGGGATTGGGGCGCAGGAAGGGATGCGTGACCTGGGAGGGAGCTCTGGGCAGGGTAGGGGATTGGGGCGCAGGAAGGGATGCGTGACCTGGGAGGGAGCTCTGGGCAGGGTAGGGGATTGGGGCGCAGGAAGGGATGCGTGACCTGGGAGGGAGCTCTGGGCAGGGTAGGGGATTGGGGCGCAGGAAGGGATGCGTGACCTGGGAGGGAGCTCTGGGCAGGGTAGGGGATTGGGGCGCAGGAAGGGATGCGTGACCTGGGAGGGAGCTCTGGGCAGGGTAGGGGATTGGGGCGCAGGAAGGGATGCGTGACCTGGGAGGGAGCTCTGGGCAGGGTAGGGGATTGGGGCGCAGGAAGGGATGCGTGACCTGGGAGGGAGCTCTGGGCAGGGTAGGGGATTGGGGCGCAGGAAGGGATGCGTGACCTGGGAGGGAGCTCTGGGCAGGGTAGGGGATTGGGGCGCAGGAAGGGATGCGTGACCTGGGAGGGAGCTCTGGGCAGGGTAGGGGATTGGGGCGCAGGAAGGGATGCGTGACCTGGGAGGGAGCTCTGGGCAGGGTAGGGGATTGGGGCGCAGGAAGGGATGCGTGACCTGGGAGGGAGCTCTGGGCAGGGTAGGGGATTGGGGCGCAGGAAGGGATGCGTGACCTGGGAGGGAGCTCTGGGCAGGGTAGGGGATTGGGGCGCAGGAAGGGATGCGTGACCTGGGAGGGAGCTCTGGGCAGGGTAGGGGATTGGGGCGCAGGAAGGGATGCGTGACCTGGGAGGGAGCTCTGGGCAGGGTAGGGGATTGGGGCGCAGGAAGGGATGCGTGACCTGGGAGGGAGCTCTGGGCAGGGTAGGGGATTGGGGCGCAGGAAGGGATGCGTGACCTGGGAGGGAGCTCTGGGCAGGGTAGGGGATTGGGGCGCAGGAAGGGATGCGTGACCTGGGAGGGAGCTCTGGGCAGGGTAGGGGATTGGGGCGCAGGAAGGGATGCGTGACCTGGGAGGGAGCTCTGGGCAGGGTAGGGGATTGGGGCGCAGGAAGGGATGCGTGACCTGGGAGGGAGCTCTGGGCAGGGTAGGGGATTGGGGCGCAGGAAGGGATGCGTGACCTGGGAGGGAGCTCTGGGCAGAGCAGGGGACTGCTGCTCCTGGAAGCAGACAATTACAGCTGGCATGTCTGGGTGCGCCTCTTGTGGGGAGACAGAGACCGTGTCTCCATGCACAGTCCACACCCACGAGCACCAACCCTGCAGCTCCCCTTGGCCGGTTTCCAGCCAATGGGAGCTGTGAGGCCGGTGCTGGGGGCAGAGGCAGCATGCAGAGACGCTGCACCCCTGGTGGGGGTGGGGAGGTGAGGAGACACCCCAAGAGCAGCGGACGCTTCTGGCGGTTGCATGGTGCCACGGCAGGCAGCCTGTCTGAGTGCCCCGCTGCGCTGCGGGACTTTTAGCGTCCTAGAGTCACAGCAGGGAGACAGAAGTGCCAGGCAGGCTGGCCCTGGCTCAGCTATAGTGTCAGGAATTAGGCAGATACTTGGCTGTCAGACTCGGCACAGCATGGACAGCCAAGTCTGCAGAAAGCTCCAAGCCAGCTCTAGCTAGCAGCAGCAGTGTAGCAAGGGGAGCGCAGCATTTCAGGCCTCAGGGCAGCATTGGCTGGCTGAACACAGGCCCTACATTCTCCCACAGGAGAGTTCAGAGCACCCGCGCCTAGTGACAGGTGGGGCCCATACACCTAGCGCCTTCAGTGTTTCCTGTCCTAAATGCAGAACGGCCAGGACTTTCCAAGAGGAACTAGTGCTTTGGAGGGTCTCCAGTTTTGGATGTCCAAACCGGGCCACGCCACTGTACAGGGGCCTGAGTTACAGGACACACCTTCCAAAAACAAGACCCCTGTAAGAATCCCAAACTGGGCACCAAAGAACTAGCACTAGACAATTTGGAAGGCTTTTCCAATGGCCACATTCACACCTTTCCCTGCCAGGAGAGTTGAATGTGATCAGCCACCTCGTGTACAGTCCCTGCTACAGACCACAGGATCTGCAGGAACAGAACACGAGGGGCGTGGGATTATCTCTTTGACTGGACCAACTTCTTCTGGCAAGAGACAAGCTTTCGTGCTTCCAGAGCTCTTCCTCACACTGGGGAGAGGGATTCCGGCCCGGGCTACCCTGGGAAGTTACGTTGGAACATACTAGTTGCTCTGGAGTGTAAAAATCCACACCCCTGCGCAACACAGTTCACTTGACCGATCCCTCGTGCAGAGTCAAGAGAATTCCCTCCTCTCCGAGCTACCGCCCTTTGGGATGATGGGCTGCCAACGCTGACCCAGGAAGCCCCCCCGGCAGAGGCGGTGTCTGCACTGCAGCACAACAACAGTGCCACTGCAGCGTTTCAGCGTAGGCCAGCGCAGCGTCACAGAGCGTTACCACAAGGCAAGCGGCCTGCAAACACCTCTGCAGTCGTAGGACAAAACGCGAGGGTCAGTGGGTCCCAGGTTGCCTTAAGCCAGGGTTCTCAGGACGAGGCTTTCGGTGGCCTCCAAGCGCGGCTGCCAACTCTAGCAAGTGGCTGCTCTCACTGTCCCCAAGCTACTGAATTAGCTTTAGGAAAAAAATATCGACGCCCTCGTGAAAAGGGATGTTAACAACCAGCCATCACTTTGCACAGCACACAAGCAGCCCTGCCACGCACAGGGACAAATGAAGCCCAGGATGGAGGGTTGTGGGAGGGAGCAGGAACCAGGAAGGCTGGTGGGTGGAGGATTGGGAGCCTGACGTGCTGCAGCCAAAGCCTGAGCCACCAGAGCCAGGGCCCTGCCCCACACAGCCAGAACACAAACCTCCTCGGCCAGGACCTGCTGGGGCGGAAACCCTCCGCCCTGGGAAGGTGGGGAATTCCCTGGCTGCCTGGCTTCTCCAGTGTAGTGCCCCAGTTGTCTCAGGGTGGGGGTGGGAGGGCAGAGCCCAACTCCCACTGGTGGCCCCAGCAATGACCATCGAGACAGTGCATGCAGGAGCAAGAGGGAGGTGCAGCGAACTCCTGCCCCCAAACAAAAGCCCAGGGGCTGTGGCTGCAAGAAAAGCCAGCGATTAATCCACGCCGTGCAGCGCCTCGCACAGCTCGGAACGCACACTGCCAGATCAGACCACTGCACGGCCACGGCTGCTCCAAGAGGCTCTGAAGGGATGCGAGAAACATGCACAGCAAGACAGACACCCGAGATCCCCGCAGCTTGCCCAGAAACGAGTCTCTCCTGCCCATGGGATGTGGGAGAGCCCTCGCTCAGCTCACCTCTCGCTTGATGGGCTCCCCTTCACAATGGATGACCGTATCTGGAGCCACTATGCAGTAAGGGCTCGGGTCTGTCTCCACCACTTTGAACTCCACAGCACGCATCCCTCCGCGCACGAGGAAGATGTCCCCTGGAAGAACCAGCACGTGTCAATGACCTGCAGCTACCAGGGCATGTACCAAGTCAGAGACCTCATGCTTCCCGAGGGTCAATGGGGCAGGCTGCCTGTATCGGATCAGCAAGAGAGGTGCCGGGGCTGCCCTGTATCAAGGCTGGGTGTTATGTCTGAACCCAGCATGCCTGGTAACAGGCAGTGTGCAAACCGCCTGTCTGGGGGGCAACGATCCCAAAGCTCAGATCAGGAATGCGGTCAGCGGCGTTCTCCACTCAGAAGACAGTGAAACCAGCACAGGTAAGAACTGGGCTCCAAAGCAGCCACCCCACGCTCCACAAGCCAGGGTGCAAAGCGTATCATGCTTGCCCTCAGCATGAGCGAGGAGACAGGGGCCTGGCTTGCCAGAGGTGGCGCAGGCTAGGCACGTTAAAATACGTTTACACATGGAGGAGCAGCCCCCCACCTCGGATACAGAGGCAGCAGCACGGGGCAGAGGCAGCTCCATGGGAGCCCGCCAGGCCCCCCGTGCGCGCTGCCGCCTCGCAGAAGCGGCGGGGGCGAGGAGGGGGACAGGCGGCTCTGTGGGAACCAGCACGTGCAGAAAGCCAGCTTAAGCCAGTTCCCCAGGCGTGCCGGCTCCCTCCTGCCTCCTTGTGAAGCAGCTGCATGGAGCGGGGAAGGGGGGAAGCGGACAGGAGCTGCAGACAGGGGAGTTTGAGAGGGAGTTTGGCAGAGGGAGACCTATGATGGTCAGGAAGACCCGCAACACCTGTGTTAGCACTGCTTCCGTCTCCTCCACCTGCGCCTGTAGCCAGACAGAGCACCTGAGCATGGATGCCTCTACGCAGATCCTAGTGTGGTTTTGCAGGGACTGTGGATTGCAATTCCCACTTATTGATATCCAGGCTGGGGAGCTCATCCAATGTGAACGGTGTCTGCTGGTGGAATCTCTCAGACAGCAGGTGGCAGAGCTACAGGAGGAGTTGGCTAGGTTGAGGAGCACCCGCATCCATGAGCAATTCCTGGACCGTGTTCATTAGGAGACAGCTGAGGTAGCTGTCCCGGTACACAGGACTGGGGACACACCTCTGGTGGAGGAGGAGACGGCTCAGGGTGGATAGTGGCAGCTGGTTACTCCTGGCAGCAGGCACTGCTCCACTCCTGCTCCGAGCCCTCCCGCCGTGGTACTAGGAAACCGTTATGCTCTTCTTTATACAGGAGATAAGCAATCACCCCCTACACCGGAGGAGGAGAAGCCCCGTACCCGCAAGGCTGGGAGGTCTGCTGCCACCACTCCGAATAGGAAACGTAAGGTAGTTGTGGTCGCAGACTCTCTTCTGAGGGGGACGGAGGCGCCCGTCTGTCGCCCTGACATTTCATCTCAGGAGGTGCTGTCTGCCGGGGCCCGTATCCGAGAAGTTACGGAGACATTGTCGAGGATTATCCGGCCCTCTGACTACTACCCCATGCTACTCATCCACGTGGGCACTAATGATACTGCGAGGTGTGACACGGAGCGGATCAAGAGTGACTACAGGGCTCTGGAAGTACGGGTGAAGGAGTTTGGAGCGCAGGTGGTATTCTCTTCAATCCTTCCTGTTGCAGATAGGGGCCCAGGCAGAGACAGGTGCATACTGGAGGTGAATGCCGGGCTGCGAAGATGGTGTTGCCAGGAGGGCTTTGGCTTCCTCCACCATGGGATGCTATTCCAGAAAGGACTGCTAAGCAGGGATGGCGTCCACCTTACGAAGAGGGGGAAGACCCTATTTGGACCCTAAAGGAGGGCTTTAAACTAGGTTCAACGGGGACAGGTGAGCAAAGCCCACAGGTAAGTGGAGAACATGGAGGCCTGGGAGATGGGTTGGAAATGGGAGGGAGCATGGGCTACAATGGCAGAGAGAAAGGAGGGTCAGGGCAAACTGGGAGGCAAGGTCAAATCAGGATCTTAGATGCCTATATACAAATGCGAGAAGTATGGGAAACAAGCAGGAAGAACTGGAAGTGCTAATAAGTAAGTACAGTTATGACATTGTTGGCATCACAGAAACTTGGTGGGATAATACACATGATTGGAATGTTTGTATGGAAGGGTACGGCTTGCTCACGAAGGACAGGCAGGGAAAAAAGGGAGGAGGGGTTGCCTTATACATTAACAATGAACACACTTGAGTGAGGTGGAGATGGACATAGGAGACGGAAGTGTTGAGAGTCTCCGAGTTAGGCTAAAAGGGATTAAAAACAAAGGTGATGTCATGCTAGGAGTCTACTGCAGGCCACCTACCCAGGTAGAAGAAGTAGATGAGGCTTTTTTTAAACAACTAACAAAATCATCCAAAGCCCAAGATTTGGTGGTGATGGGGGACTTCAACTATCCAGATAAATGTTGGGAAAATAACACTGCGGGGCAAAGACTGTCCAATAAGTTCTTGGACTGCATTGGAGACAACTTTTTATTTCAGAAGGTTGAAAAAGCGATTCAGGAATGTCCAAAACTCTCAGAAATCATTGAGAGTCTTCTGATTTTCTTCACTGGGTTTTGAATTAGACCCTGTGTTCTTGTTTATGCTAGGGTTTAAAGATATGTAGTGTTAGAACATGTTAGCTGAGCCATTACATTGGCTGAGCTAAAGCCTAGGCTTTTCGTTAAGCTTTAACTTGACTGGTTAAGCATGTGCCCTTTTCTACTCACAAAGTCATTTCTCTGCTCTACTCTGCGCTGGTTAGGCTGGTTAGTGAATGCTAGTAGGAAGGGGGAAGCTGTTCTAGATTTGATCCTAGCAAATAGGGAGGAACTAGTTGAGAATTTGAAAGTGGAAGGCAGCTTGGGTGAAAGTGATCATGAAATCATAGAGTTCACAATTCTAAGGAAGGGTAGAAGGGAGAACAGCAAAATAGAGACAATGGATTTCAGGAAGGTGGATTTTGGTAAGCTCAGAGAGCTGATAGGTAAGGTCCCATGGGAATCGAGACTGAGGGGAAAAACAACTGAGGGGAGTTGGCAGTTTTTCAAAGGGACATTGTTAAGGGCCCAAAAGCAAGCAATTCCGATGTGTCGGAAAGATAGAAAATATGGCAAAAGACCCTCTTGGCTTAACCACAACATCTTGAATGATCTAAAAATAAAAAAGGAGTCATATAAAAAATGGAAAGTAGGACAAATTACAAAGGATGAATATAGGCAAACAGCACAGGAACGCAGGGGCAAGATTAGAAAGGCAAAGGCACAGAATGAGCTTAAACTAGCTACGGGAATAAAGGGAAACAAGAAGACTTTTTATACATACATTAGAAGCAAGAGGAAGACCAAGGAGAGGGTAGGCCCACTGGTCAGTGAGGAGGGAGAAACAGTAACAGGAAACTTGGAAATGGCAGAGATGCTCAATGACTTCTTTGTTTCGGTCTTCACCGAGAAGTCTGTAGGAACACCTAACCTAGTGAATGCTAGTGGGAAGGGGGTAGTTTTAGAAGGTAAAATTAGAAAAGAACAAGTCAAAAATCACCTAGAAAAGTTAGATGTTTGCAAGTCACCAGGGCCTGATGAAATGTATCCTAGACTACTCAAGGAGCTGACAGAGGAGGTTTCTGAGCCGCTAGCTATCATCTTTGGAAAATCATGGGAGACTGGAGAGATTCCAGAGGACTGGAAAAGGGCAAATATAGTGCCCATTTATAAAAAGGGAAATAAGAAAAACCCAGGAAGCTACAGACCAGTTAGTTTAACGTCTGTGCCAGGGAAGATAATGAAGCAAGTAATTAAAGAAATAATCTGTAAACACTTGGAAAGTGGCAAGGTGATAGGGAACAGCCAGCATGGATTTGTAAAGAACAAATCATGTCAAACCAATCTGATAGCTTTCTTTGATAGGATAACGAGTCTTGTGGCTAAGGGAGAAGCGGTGGATGTGGTATACCTAGACATTAGTAAGGAGTTTGATATGGTCTCGCATGATATTCTTATCAATAAACTAGGGAAATACAACTGAGATGGGGCTACTATAAGGTGGGTGCATAACTGGCTGGATAACCGTACTCAGAGAGTAGTTATTAATGGTTCACAATCCTGCTGGAAGGGCAGAACAAGTGGGGTTCCGCAGGGGGTCTGTTTTGGGAGCGGCTCTGTTCAATATCTTCATCAACAATTTAGATATTGGCATAGAAAGTACGCTTAAGTTTGCAGATGATACCAAGCTGGGAAGGGTTGTGACTAATCTGCAGGATAGGGTCATAATTCAAAATGACCTGGACAAATTGGAGAAATGGTCTGAGGAAAACAGGATGAAGTTTAATAAAGACAAATGCAAAGTGCTCCACTTAAGAAAGAACAATCAGTTTCACACATACAGAATGGGAAGCGATGGTCTAGGAAGGAGTAATGCAGAAAGGGATCTAGGGGTTATAGTGAACCACAAGCTGAATATGAGTCAGCAGTGTGATGCTGTTGCAAAGAAAGCAAACATGATTCTGGGCTGCATTAACAGGTGTCTTGAGAGCAAGACACGAAGAGTCATTCTTCTGCTCTACTCTGCGCTGGTTAGGCCTCAGTTGGAGTATTGTGTCCAGTTCTGGGCACCGCATTTCAAGAAAGATGTGGAGAAATTGGAGAGGATCCAGAGAAGAGAAACGAGAATGATTAAAGGTCTAGAGAACATGAGCTATGAAGGAAGACTGGAAGAACTGGGTTTGTTTAGTTTAGAGAAGAGAAGACTGAGGGGGGACATGAGAGCCGTTTTCAGATATCTAAAAGGGTGTCACAAGGAGGAGGGAGAAAACTTGTTCATCTTGGCCTCTGACGATAGAACAAGAAGCAAGGGGCTTCAACTGCAGCAAGGGAGGTTTAGGTTGGACATTATGAAAAAGTTCCTAACTGTCAGGGGGGTTAAACGTTGGAATAAATTGCCCAGGGAGGTTGTGGAATCCCCATCTCTGGAGATATTTAAGAGCAGGTTAGATAAATGTCTCTCAGGGATGGTCTAGACAGTATTTGGTCCTGCCATGAGGGCAGGAGACTGGACTTGATGGCCTCTCGAGGTCCCTGCCAGTCCTAGTATTCTATGGTTCTAGGAAATCGGTTTGGCAGGAGCCAGCTCCCACATCCCTCTCCTCTTCCTCCCCCCCCACCACAGGGGAGCAGGCAGCTATAAACCAGCTCCCCGCAAGGGGGAGAGGTGGCTCTGTGGGAGCCAGCTCCCTATGTGCGCAGCCTCCCGTCCCCCCACCTCTGACTCAGACGTTGCAGATCTGAGGAGGGTGGTAGTGCGACCCTGGGAATCTGCCCAGGATGAGAGTGTCGGTCAAGCTAAGGGGCTAGCAGTGGGAGGAGAGGAAACCCAACTCCAAAACGCCAACGCGGTGGCCAGAGGAAACCTACTGCAAAAGCTCCCGCCGTCACACTTGCAGGGAAGGAAACGGGAGGGGAGGAAGGTCACTCCAGCCAAAGCTCCAAGCTTGTTTTCTTGCCTGTGAAGCAAGGGGCTGCCAGAGTTCAAGTCCCAAACCTGGGAGTGCAGCCTGCCACCTCTCGCCTGCCTCTGCCCATCTCCCCCTAAAGGGTGGCATCTGGCTGGCCTTCCCCTCTCACCCTCAAGCAGTCAGCACTGGCCAGAGGAGGGGGACTCTTAGCCGATAGCACCAGGAGGACCCAGGGAAGTGGGTCCCAGAGCAGTACAGGCCCCTGTCCAGAAGGCACTGAAGCCCCATGCAGTGCCCCCCCCCAGGGTTGAAACCTGACTGGCCAGATAGGGAAGGGACTGTGCGCCAAGCTGCACTGAAGAGGCCAAGGGCTCCGAGATGGGAGGGGCACTGTGAGCGTCTAGTCGGACCTCTGGATCAGACTCAGCCCCAGTGCCCCCCGGGCCAGACTGAGCGCACTGGCTTGGCAGTGACGAAATTCACCACAACCGTCTCTCAGCTGTGCCAACGGTTCATGGCCCCCGACCCTTCCTTCCCTTCTCAATTCGGTAGCCCTTGTGCCTCGGTCTGCTAGAGCCTTCTCTTAGCAAGATGCTGCTCCCCATGAAGGCACCACCCTGCTTAGCCATCCCAGGGCTGCACAGTGCTTTCGGGCAGTGTCGCACTAGGAGTGGATCGTTCACCATGGGCACCAGTCCTTTTGCACAGCTGCTGCTTTCCAGGATAGAGTCCCCCACGCTCCCACATTGGCCTGTGTTCTTTGGTCTTCTACACACAACTTCAGATTCGGGCCTGTCAAAATGGACATTGTTTGCTTGCACCCAGCTTCCCAAGAGACCCAAGCCTCTGTTTCGCTGCCCTGCAGACGCACCCTTAGTCACAAAGGTATCAGTCAGACTCAAGCTACCCTAATGCCATGTACAGATCCAGGCAAGTTTCTGGAGCTCGCCTCCTCCTGGTCAGGCTCATGAAAGAAGAGTAGCACAGCCTTTACTCTTCCCCCTGGTTTCAGGAGCTGGCGTCATTACCTTTCCTGATTGGTCTGTACGCTTCCAGGAAGTAGGGCTTGAGGTAGACCTCAAACAGATTCCCTGTGATCCCTTCCACGGTGTCATCAATCGGTAACACATGGATGCGTTTGCCATACTTCACATCTGGGCAGGGCTGGATGCTGAAAGACAACAGATCTCAGTAAGCTACAGCTCCTGCTATACACAGGGCATAGAAAGGGAAGGAACCAAACACTCCCAATGCCGGGATGAAAAGCCCAGCGAGCAGGCACCCTGCTCTATGAGGCACCTAGGTTAGGGCTTGTCCTTCTCGCTGCTCATTTCTCTGTTCTCCACCCTCCCACTAGGGCTGCTGGGGAAGAGAGCAGTCCCCGCTCTTGTTCTTTCCGTGCTGCCTTCCCCACCAGCAAAGCTAAGTGGACAAGTATCTGGCCATGCCCCCAGTTGTCACTAGTGCGTTCCAGGGAGCTGGAATACTCAGCAGCTAGAGCCCTGCAAATCCGTGGCTATCCACTTCATGGCTGCGGATGTGGATGCAGATATCTGCGGCTCACTTTTGCCGATATGGAAGCAGATATGAATTTTGTATCCATGCAGGGCTCTATCAACAGCTACTCTTTATTTCAACGAGAAGCCTGCTGCTGGCAAGACTAAAGAGAGGCAGAGAAAATCCCTCTTTTCCTCACAACACCAGAAAATTGGGCTCCTCTTACTAATAACTTTGGCACAAGCTTTTGAGCACCTGGGAAATGAAGATCTCACGAGAATCCACAAGTGACCAGAGACCTGTCAATTTCACTTAGGGGACACTTGCACCTAGAGCGTATCCTGCCATTCACCTGAACGTTTTAGCGCCTTACTTTGCATGGCACCTTTTATAAATCACGGTACCAAATGCTTTACAGAGATAGAATTAAGATGAAGAGCAAAGAGAGAGACCAAACGGCCCAACAGCAGGAGGAACATAGAGCCCAAGATGGGATAAAGGCATGACTCAGATTTCAGCAGAGGCAAGGCCACAGTAAAAAATGCAACAGGAAATGTCAAAGCTAAGGAGAAGAACTCGGAGAAGTCAGAGGTAAATAAGGTTGCCAGACACCTTCACAAAAAATCCCAAACATGGCAGGGAAAAAAAATTGGTTAAGATGGAAAAAAAAAGCCACACCACAACGAAACATCCCACAGGAGACCAAACCTGTTGAGCATTTAAAAAAAAAAAAAAGCGCTGCACCTTTAAATTCCCATGCTCTTCCCCCGCTCAACATGGCAGGGGAAAAATGTCCCCACCAGCCTTCTGTCTGAGAAAAAACAGAAAATACTGGACATTTTACACGTCCGGTATTCTCGGGGTTTTTTTTTAAACCAGACAGAAGACATAATTACCGGACTGTCCGGGCGAAAACCCTAGAGGTAAAGGAGGATTCAGAGGGGTCTGGCCTTTGGGATCAAGTTAAGACAAGTGACTGGGGGATGGAACGAAATCTGAAGGTGAGCCACGGGACACAGATCAGGCAGAGACCAACGGACTAAAGGCGACACGATTAGCTGCTGAGACAGGCGATTTGGAAAATGTTAGGAGGTAAGAGATTAAATGATCTAGGGGAGGAGTTACTGGGTTATGGGAATGGTCACGTCATAAGAAATGGTGACAGCTGTAAACATGAGCTACACACTCTACTTAATACCCTTTCTAGGCATGTAATAGCGGAGTCGATTAATGCTTATAGGTTAATGCTATAGACTACATGCATTTCCCCCCGCAGCCAGTACATTTTTTAAGAGGCTGGCCAGCAGCCCAGGTCAGTCCCAGCTTGCACCAGGTGTGGGACCTACCCCTCCTGTGGCTCTGCATTTAAAATGTATTAGTAGCCAGGCAGGCAAGCAGCTCAGCTCAGCTCAGCTCCGGCTCACGACAAGTCCAGGAGCTCAGCCCCACTCCTGGACAGGGGCTGCTGCCACCTGCGCTGCTGCTTCTGGTTTTTAAACTCGCTCCCCTCACAGACCAGCTTCCGCCTGGCACCCCACCTGGCTTCCACGCTGTTGCCTCTGATACAGCGCAGAGTGGCAGGGGACTCCTCAGGAGTGGGGCTGGAGCACACTGGCTGCCGGTCCCACCCCCAGGGACTACAGAATAGTCGAGTAACCAAAAAGAATTCATGAGGTTAACTGACTATTCAATGAATCGATATTGAACATCCCTAACCCTTACAGCCCCTCTTTACTGAAGTCCAGTATCATAGCTGCGCAAAGCTGATCAGCCCGGATTTCTCCTTTTCCCATGAGCTGCTGCCATTAGAAAGCACCTCCATTCTCTGCAATGGTTGCAAGGCAAATGTTTTGCAGAGTCTGAACAATCTACTAGCTCTCACTCCTGAAAATCCCATGCAAGCGACAGGAGTCTCAGGTGTCCTCCCAACATCTAGGGAACGCTGGGTTAGTGCACCCAAAGGGACACTGAGTTAGAGCCGCGTCCAGGTTTTACCTCTGTTAGGTTATTTAGTTCATGTCCCTCAGGTCAATGCAAGACCGTTCTGATGATGTCTGTTACAGGGCATGCACGCTCCACTTTTTAGTCTCAAGCAAGGGACATACACATTGGCATGAGTTACTAACTGCCCACATTCAAATGGGAAGGGTCTGTATGTTTCTATTTGTGTCTGCTTATGTTACAGGCAGTCCCCGGGTTACGTACAAGATAGGGACTGTAGGTTTGTTCTTAAGTTGAATTTGTATGTAAGTCAGAACTGGTACATATTGTAGGGGAAACTCTAGCCCTGTGGTCCCCAACACGGCGCCCGCCGGGGCCTTTGGCGGCCCCCGCCAAGTGCTCAGGGCTGGCCTGGCCCCGGGCACGCGGCGCTTGGGGGAAGGGGGGGGGAGCGAGCCCCGGGTGTGCAGCGCTTGAGGGGAGAGCGCCAGCCCCCGGAATGCAGCTATGGGGGGGCCCCGCCCCCCGGGCGCCCGGCGGGCGAACGGCCACGCCCCCTGGCGCCCGGCAACCCCAAATGGTTGGGGACCACTGCTCTAGCCAAACATTTCTCCAGAGCTCAGTTTTATTCTCCCACACTTCACTTCCCTCAGTCCTTTATTCTCAAGCTGAGGTGTCTGCTGAGAAAAGCCCCTCCGCGTCTCCCTGGTCTGCTGGGGAGGGGCGCTAGCTAAGCGTCTCCCTGGTTTGCTGGGGGGAAGCAGCTAGTGCGGGGTTGCCTCACCCTGTTTGTAAGTCGGATCCATGTAACCCAGGGACTGCCTGTACTTGATTGTTTCACTTTTCATTCAGCTTTGACAATGAGAACAGATTAGTCACTTTTACTTTTGTTTCCAAACAGTATCAGCTTCTGCTTCTCATGCAGAAGTTCAATACCTAAGCTGCGGACACTAGGAGAAACAATAGCCCTTTCCACTGAAATTACCATTTCTATTAATAATCAGATTGTGAAAAGACAAGGTCTGAAAGTGTGCATCAGTCCAACTTTACATATAGGGAGACGAGCGACCTACGATGTGGAGTGGGATTTTCAGACAGCGGATTTCGTGATGGAACTTGTGCATCTAAATCACCTGAGCTCTTTCAAAAACCTCTCTTGTAACCCCCAGGATACACGTCCCCGTACAGTCTTTATGAGCACTCCTAGTTAGATTCCAGCTGCAGGACACTCTCCTTCAAGAGGCACTGCTGCTGCGAACTCTCCTGAAAGGAAAGCGACCACTTGCTACAATCCCCATCTCCATTACTGACTGAATTTGATCAGAGCCACCTACACAAATTCAGGAAGACGCCCCCAGCTAGCAAAGCAGACCTCACCTGATCACATCACCAAGGCGCACTCTCAGGTTGTTCCGAACAACCCTATTCATGCGAATCTTCTCATCTGAGCAGGTATCATCGGACAGGACAATGCAGACGGCTTCTCTCCTCTTCTTGCCTTTTAGCAGAACTGTGTCTCCTCTGAACAGCTGCAATTCATCCATTTTTGCCTGTGACCAGAGATAGCGTTAGCGCATGCATTTGACAAGGCTGGAGAGTAAGTGTTTGGAAGACAGCAGCCTGACCCCACAATGCTAGGAGCCATAAATAGACATGGGACCCCCCAATTGCCAGTCCCATAGCAAGGACAGGGCCTCCTGCTTGAACACTAGCATCATTCGAGAACAATAACTACTGCTCCCAAGTCTCACAGGCAAGAGCCCCATAAGAAACCATTTTCCATTTTTACCCATCACAGCCCAAGTGCCGTTTCTTCAGGGCATTCATGTAGCATGTTCAACAATGGGCTAAGAGTGAGTGTCAGGGGACAAGACACTGAACACTCACATATTAACTACACAGTTCTTACTGGATTTGACACACACCTGGGACAGTGACACAACACTGTTGTCCTCATTGATGGCTTCGTCAACAATTAACCGATTGGGCCTGTTCTTCTGCTTTAGGATTGCAGTGGATAAATCATCCGCTTTAGAACTGGAAAGAAACAGAACTGCTGAGTCTGGGCAACATTGCTCCTCCCTTTCTGGACAAAGCCTGCTTTGGTCTCCACCATCTACTTGTTTGGCTACCTTCCCACCTTCTCTTTCGCAAACTAAACCTGCTGGTAAGACAAAATACAGAATCTTGTGGGGTGAAACCTGTTCAGTTCTTCATGGAGAGCTAAGTCAGAAGGCAGAGTTATGTTCAGTAAGAAAGTGATTTCAGCTCATTTGGTAGCCTTGAACTAAAATAGAGATGAAGATATTTAGGAAAACAGGATCCTGGAGCAGCCCCTTCCTGGAATGGCTCTTGCCTAAAAACAAAGACACTGTAGCAAGATAATCACCCATACTCATATGCAAACTGTGGGCTTAAACTCACACAAATGATCAGGAGGGTGGAATCTCTCAGGTCACAAACCCCAGACAACACCCAGAGAGATTTACAGGGCAATGTTACATTTCCGATGCATTACAAGAGTTTAGCCCTTTGAGTGTCAGGTAAAATTAACAAACCTAATCACGTGTTTATGAATGCTTTTAAGTGTCCGTGAACACTGTTTTGTTTGGATGCAAACATATCCCTGTAGCATTCAAACACAGAACATATCCACTTTACGCTAAGACATCCCAAGAAATGCAACAGTTTATTTGCATTTCCTAAACTGAATAGCAAAAAACGGTTAAGAGGCAGATTTGTAAAGTGTTTTGTTTCAATGTCTAATACACCAAACAAAAAGGACTTATGGGTTTTTTCAAGTAAGAATTTGAACAAAGTGACCCTTCAAGAGCCTGCAGAAGTTCCAACCTGTTCTGTACAGCATCACCAGAGCATGTTAACTGCTCCCTTCTTAACAACTGACTTGCATAACTGGACAATTGAGACACACCAGACAAATGATAAATATTAAGAGCAGGTTGGTTTGCTTCCAGCAAAAAGGCAACACTTAGCTTTATCCTTAGTAAGATGCCAATATTAACACAGGATGGGAGCAGGCCTCAGGCCCCCGCCTCCTCCCGGGCTGGCAGCATCGCTGTGCTGAGTGCAGTGGGTCTTAGCCCCCCAGGCTGGCACTTAACTAAGGCTAAATCTACACTGCCACTTTATCACACTGCAACTTTCCAGCTCAAGGGTGTGAAAACACTCCCCCCCCCCATGCAGCAAGTTACAGCGGTGCTGTCAGCCACTCCCCTCGCGGAGGTGGTTTACACGGAGCGCTGGGAGAGCTCTCTCCCAATGCTCCTGCCGTGGCTACACTTTCAGTTTAAAGAAATGTTTGGCTGCCTTGAAGTGCAGACAAAGCCTAACTCCCTTGGGGTACGGAACAACAGTTTAAAGCGAACAAACCCCCGGGGAAGGTGGTGAGCAGTGCAAGCTAGCACAGTGTTTGACATGAACAGTCCTACGGAATGGTGCCTGGGGATGACCACTGCTGTGTTTGCATGTCCATTGGCTCTTGCAGAAAAGTGTTACAGCAGCACGCAGGCAAGTGGTAGGTACAGGAGACCCTCACAATTTTGTGCCTTCACAGAGCTCTCCTGTTCTCAAGCCCTAGCCCTTCTTGTCACCACCCTGCCCTGTCCCCTCCCATTGCACTTCATCCTCCAGCCTGGGGGGCGGGGGAGAGGGGGGTGCTGCAGAGCAGCAGCAACAGTCCAATCCCCTCCCCCACAATCACCATGGACTGTCAGATTTCACCTTTCACCTTGGTGTCAGGAATGCAGCATTGGCCCCTTCCCTGCCACTTCAGAAGAGAGGTCCCAGGAATCACACTAGGGCAGTCGCCTTATGGGGGAACGGTTTTGAAATCTGTCTAGAGCACAAGTATACCGTGCCAACCAGTGACAGCTAAGAGGGAGATTCAGCATAGCCCGAGAGACAGCACTGTCAGATTTCACCTTTCACCTTGGTGTCAGGAATGCAGCATTGGCCCCTTCCCTGCCACTTCAGAAGAGAGGTCCCAGGAATCACACTAGGGCAGTCGCCTTATGGGGGAACGGTTTTGAAATCTGTCTAGAGCACAAGTATACCGTGCCAACCAGTGACAGCTAAGAGGGAGATTCAGCATAGCCCGAGAGACAGCACTGAAATCACCCAGGAAGGATAGGATCCTCTGGGTGAAACAGCAGGTTACAAGGAGGTGCAAGGTCCTCACAAAAAGCACCGTCTCTTGGAGATGACTCAGCTTTAAAGCTCGAGCCAAGGGAAGCCCTGGATGGACGTCAGAAACTAGGCCTTGGCTTTGCCACTGAAAGAACTGACAGCAGATCTAAGAAGGGCCAGTACAACATTTTGAAAAGTAATATATAACCTGGGAGCAAAAGCAGCACTGATTCTACAAGGCAAGGAGAGTGGGGAGGTTAGTAGCAGAAGTCTGGGGCTCATAATAAGTCTACTGTTGCATATTTATTAGTGAAATGGAGGAGGAAACGGGACAGAAAGTTGAAACTATAAACAAGTTGTTCTGTGAATTAAAAAGCTATGGAAAACTATGAAACTTCTGATGGATTTAAATACAGTGGGGGAATGAGCAAAATAATGGCAAGTGACATTTAGCTACGGTAAATATAAGTTAATTCACAAGAGGCAAAAGGTCTATTAAAGTTTTGAACGTGCAGGGCTCTCAGAGAAAATGCAGTCGAATGCCGGGGTTCCCAAACTATGGTACACAGGACAAAGTGCATCATGGCAGATTTTATTCATCATTTTATTCATTGCATTTTCAGAATAGGCTGCTCAGAAAAAAAATCTTTAAAAGTCTGGGAATTTGTTATATAAAAGATGGTAGTTAATTTATTTCAAGATGTACCAATGTGAACAGATTTGCTGACAGAGAACCCTCTCTGCCAGTCACCCATCAGCATGGAGTCAGGTGCCCTGCAACTGTCCCGTCTGAGTTCAGAACTTATTCAGGTTTTTTCCAGTTCTATGAGTTGCGCTACATGGTACAGAGCTGTAAAAAGGGGCAGAGTGCTAAAGACAGGTAGCATTAAGAAAACACACAATATTAGTGGGGAGGAGTACACAGGCAGCTGGTAGATCGGTAAGGGAGATACAAAACTTTGGGAACCTCTGGGCTAACGGACAGAAGCTGTCTGTCCAGTGTGCTGCAGCACTTCCAGCAGAGAGAGGCTTGAGGGCATGAAAAATAGAAGATATTATTTCAAACAATGGTGTAGGCTCATCTAGCATAGCAGGCCAGTTTCGGTCTCCTCACTTCACAATGAACAGGTTCAAAAAAAAGAAACAAAGGTCATAGAGGGCTACATGGTAGTTACAGATAAGAGTGAAAAGGTGAAAGGTTACTTAGAATTTGACAAGTTCCTTAAGACTACAGAGAGCACAGCAAAAATAGATCAGTCCCTCTTTTTCACATGGGCCCACAAAAAAGATAAGTCATGTTAAGATTTACTGTACTTTTGAGGGGCTGGGATTAAAATACAGAGTTCACAGCATGCTTCAGTCTCTCTCAAATACAGTTCAAATACCAGGATGTTTTCCCCAATACAGAGGTGCAACTGAGGTGAGAAATCCCAGCACTAATACTCCCCCAAGCCGTAAAGACTGCTTCCTCTCCTTTACAAAGGGAAACCTTCCAAGTCTCCTGTCTGCCAAGAAAACAAGCTTTCCAGTCTATGCCACTTAATCATTTCCCTATGGTAAAGCTCCTGCTGCTTTAATGTGTGATGAAACCTGAAGCCCATGTACAGTGGTACACAGCATGAACGGGCAGGGACACAGAGAAACCTGCAGTGCTGATTAGCATACTTGTGACAACATAATTCTCAGGATGCAAGTACCAACTATGCTTGCTTCTCTGAGGTCCCAGCCACACTAGGAAATTGACTTGATGCTTACAATTCATGCTAACATAGATGGCAAAGTTACATGCACCCGTGATGGAAACTGCGATTGAAACTCATGTTTCCGCAATGAATCTGAAAGAAGTTTTGGCCCCTCTACACCAGTACTTAAACTGGTTAAGCACTGATTCAGGTACACCTGCTGCTGGCAGACTCCTAGGGATAGGCCCGTTTCCTAACACACTGAGCCAGAACATTCGTGCTGCAAGTAGTGCTTTTCCCCAAGTAAAGCACAGTCAACAAGCTGCCTGAGGATGGCAGCCATCTTGCTGAGATGTTATTTGGGACAACATAACTAGCGCCCAATGCCAGACAGTCAGTTCCCATTTAATACTGAACATAAGAATGGCCAGACTGGGTCAGACCAAAGGTCCAGTGTCCTGTCTTTGACAGTGGCCATGCCAGATGCCCCTGAGGGAGTGAGCAGAGAATCATCTAGTGATCCCTCCCGTCATCCAGTCCCGATTTCTGACAAACAGAGACTAGGGACACCATCCCAGCCCATCCTGGCTAGAAGCCATTGATGGCCTTAACCTCCATGGATTTATTTAGTTCATTTTTGAACCCTGGTAAAGTCCTGGTCTTCACAACCTCCTCTGGCGAGGAGTTCCACAGGTTGACTGTGCGCTGCATGAAGAAATACATCCTTTAGTTTATTTCAAGCCTGCTGCTGCCTGTTCATTTATTTCGGTGACTCCTAGTTAAGTGATGGGAACAAGAAAATAACTTTTCCTTCTTCACTTCCCGGTGACCCTGAACTAGTGGGTTGAGTTACCGGATTCCCACGTGGCACGATCACAGGCAGCGCCTGCAGGGCAGCTGCGAACGGGAGCCCGGAGGGGAAGGCTCCTGAGCGGAACCGGGGCAGGGTTAGGGGCTGGGTTGAGTTACCGGATTCCCACGTGGCACGATCACAGGCAGCGCCTGCAGGGCAGCTGCGAACGGGAGCCCGGAGGGGAAGGCTCCTGAGCGGAACCGGGGCAGGGTTAGGGGCACATCGGTCAGGACGCTGCGCTCGAGGGCCCAGCCCCGCTGTTCTCCGGG